TCGCCAGTGTGTGAATTGGAGTCTAAGTATAAGTTTAGCACAGATTCATTTTCACATTTTCTTTGTTAATGTTAATGCATTAACTAAGGTTAACTAATGAGATCTTATTGTAAAGTGTTACCTATTCTTTATAATTCTTTTGCACTTTAATCTGTGTGAAATATTTTACTTTATACATTTGTTGTGTATTGCTTTATTGTATTTAAATGTTCAGTTCCTTTTTTTTATAAGAAAAAAGTTATTAAACCTATTATACTGTATTATGACAACACTTTTTTGCAACTAAATTTCAATATTGTGATAATACCACATACCGTGATAAAAGCATTAGCAATTAATCGCAACATGAAAATGTTATACTGTCATATGCCTACATATAGCTAGGGCTGGGCTATATAGCTAAAAAATGTGTCAACGATATAATGTTTCATATCGTTCGGTATCGATAATTATTGACATTTTTGATAACCTTTTTTTTAAAACAAAGAGCAATAGAAAAAAATGTTTCAATTTAACCACTGTATTTTAAATGAACCCTATTTATTGAGACAAACAAATATTTTTTGTTTTAACAGTCAAACAAAAAATTAAAATTAAACATCTTATTTCTAATGTTTTATATGCAGATTAGGAAACTTTTTTCTTGTTTCCCGAGGCCACAGGAGGGCTCAATGAGCAAAATAATGCAGCACATTAAATTGTCAACGCAAGGAAATAACTGTCTATAAAAAAAACGTGCATAACATCTAAATTAACTCATATAAAGCAAACATAATTTCGTAAATTGCATAAACAATTATGAACAAAACAGCATCATGTATTTATGCATTGCTTAATACAAAGAGCCGAATCGCCAATCACACAGATTGCCTTTAAAACATATGAGACGCAGTGAAAATGAATAAACGTCCACAAATTCATGACGTGTTTTCTAAAAGTTTAAACTGTTTTAACTTTGCATGGCTTTCTATACATCTCTTGTGTGACACGCGAGTGCAGCAGTCATATTTGTCCGTCTAAAAAATGCGCTGGCGTTCTGTGTGAATGGCTTGGTTTCGGTTTTCACCTAATCAAGATCTTCTCCGCATTGAGCTACTATATTTCTCTAATATTTTGAATGCATAACACAGCAGCGGCGCATCTCGTGGGCTAGAGTAGACTTAACAAAACATTAAAATGCAAAAACGTCACTTACATCATCTACTGATGACGCTCCCTGATGCACAAATAACATTCAAATGCAAATGTTTATTTTAAATTCGACTAATATTAATTTTTTTATTCACAATCTCCTCGTCACAGGCAGGCACAGCACTCAATTCAGCATGTTTGTGTTTGTGTGTGCTGTCTGCGTCACTCATAGCACGTGCCTATATCGAACATTTTTTCTATCGTTATCGAAGAAGGTGTACCGTTGATAAATATCGATACAGTTTTATCGCCCAGGCCTACATATAGCCTATTGCTTTTTGTTGTGGTGGAAATGATAGTGATAGAAGTCATACTGTAAATTTATTTCAAATAATATTACAGCTGTAACTTGTGTAAAAAGTAAATTTCACAGTTAATATTTAAATACTTTATTTATTTAATTAATTAATTATTTTTATAGAATATCGTAGATTTAATAATATAGTCTGGGTCTGAGACAAGGGTACAACCAGATATGTACATAAAAGTGATTTAAAACTATGCATAGGCATAGTAAAAACCAGTGGTGGACAGTAACGGAGTAGTTTTACTTCGTTACTGTACTTAAGTACATTTATCAAGTATCTGTACTGGAGTAGTTTTATTTTGAGTAACTTTTACTTTTACTTCACTAAATTCCAAAGCATAAGATCGTACTTTTTACTTCACTACATTTCATAAAACATATCGTTACTCCTTATAATACATCACGTGCTCCGACACGCAGAAGCGGTGTCTGATTCAAGAACGAACTGATTCTTTTCACTGAACCTTTTAAATCTGTTCACAAATTGCATCAAACGATTCATTCACGAATTAGAATGATCCGATTGCAGCTGTTCTCGAGTCGACAACTCACTGATTCATCAGGTACATCGCAGTGTAAGCTTCACAGTGAACATTACTACATCACTCTCGTCAACGTAGTCCATATCAACAACAAAAATATATCTTGACTTCATATAGTGGTTATTTTGGGAAAATCCCAGGTATTTTGAGCGGTAGGATTATAAAAAATGTGCTAATATAAAATTAAATTAAGTAGCCTATATAAAATTGCAAAATAAATCTATCTATCAGTACTTTTTTTACTTAAGTACATAAACAAATCGAGTACTTTTGTACTTTCACTCGAGTAAAATTGAAAAAGGAGTACTTTTACTGGAGTAATATTTTATTATACGTATCTGTACTTTTACTCAAGTACTTGATTTGTGTACTTCGTCCACCACTGGTAAAAAACTTTCCACAACAGTTTTAATGTGAATTTGATATGGCGAAAAAAGTTTGAGTTAAGTGTTGTTAACACCAATGACGATAACTATGATATTGATAAAGATATAGTTTTAAAAATGGTTTTAAATGTAAAAGAATAGCAAAATGTGCATCACAACTATTTCAATAGCTACACAGAGGAAAGCTATTATCAATTTTATTTTGTCAAAACATTGACAGCCAATCAGATTTCATCCTGTTTTAAAGAGCTCAAACATTTAAAGCAGCAGATGACATAACTGCAGCACACACTTATAATAAACAGAACATTATAGTGCATTGGTGTGGACGCTGATGTAGTTATCTTTACAGTTATTACACTTGGTGTGAATGGGCCTTTTGTCTTAATAATATAATAGAGTTTATAACATACAAAATACTAGCCCTAGGCCATAAAAGTACCTGTAGTTGAAGAAATACCTTGTTGATGTTTTGAAAGTAGATACATGATTTATTGAAAGTAGCCTACATACGTGATGGAATTTAAAGAGATTGCTGTAATTTGTGACATTTCCTCAAATTATTCAATGTTAGTTTGCGTGAATTTTAACAATTCATTATGGTTTGCCCGTTTTTTTTATAATATTAGATAGAGCCTGACTGATATGTTTTTTTTGGGGGCCGAAGCCGATACCGATATTAGGGAGTTAAAAAAAGACTGATACGATATATCGGCCGATATTCTTTATGTGTAGGCTATATTATAGTACAGTATAGTCAAATTGACTGGTACTGTATATAGAATACAGTATATAGCCTACATAAACAGAATATATATACATAAAACATTTTTGCAATGATAACTCCAATGTGGTGATCAAACACTTATAATGATGTGACAAACATAGGCCGATGTAATGGAGGCAGGGTATTTAACAATTTAACAGTAAACTTTATTATTCAAAATGAGTGACATCAGTGCACTTAACAGTTAACTTCACTTCACTTATTATAAATAACTTAAATACAACAAATAGAACAAAATATATATAACTTGAATTAAGAAATTAAACAAGGTAACTGTGTAGGGCAAGGAAGCTACTGACAAACCAACAGGGGCAGGTTTGTCAGTAGCTTCCTTGCCCTACACAGTTACCTTGTTTAATTTCTTAATTCAAGTTATATATATTTTGTTCTATTTGTTGTATTTAAGTTATTTATAATAAGTGAAGTGAAGTTAACTGTTAAGTGCACTGATGTCACTCATTTTGAATAATAAAGTTTACTGTTAAATTGTTAAATACCCTGCCTCCATTACATCGGCCTATGTTTGTCACATCATTATAAGTGTTTGATCACCACATTGGAGTTATATATATATATGTACTGACCTGTTTTTTATTTATTCATCAAAAATAAGACAAATTCCATGAAATTCCTCGTTATACAGTAAATTCCGTTTTTATGACTGGATTCCGCGATTCCATCCATGCTTTCTGCATCGCGGAAATCATAGGGCCCTACTAATGTAGCAAACGAATATGATAAGCTCATTGTGAGAGTAAAAGACGGGGACATTGTTGTTTATTTACTTAGCATTGAGTCTCTCCAACTAGGTGACAACGTAGCGTTAATTCACCATTTAACAGACTGAAGCCACCACCGCACTGCTGTCTATTGGACTGCAAAAAGATACTAACTTTTCAATCTGCTTCGTTACTGACTGTACTGACAAACTATGCTGACACACCGTGTCTGCGCCGCAACAGAACGCGACAAAGCGACCGTTGAAAATCATTGGAACTTTGTGTCAGCACGTCATAAATAGAACGAGGCATCAGTTTACTGCATCCAGTGTAGACCAGAGTCTGGTGTAGACAACATCACTGATTATAATGGGTTCTATTCTACACCGGGCGCGGAGCGACAAAATACAATAGAAATATTGTATTTTGTCACGCTGCGCGATGTGACCGATGTGATAAGCATGAGTTCTGGGCCGCGGCGCGGCCGGTACAAACACCAGCATTGACTGAGTGGCCGCGATCAGCTCTGGTGGCCGTAACACAGGCTTTAATGCGCCGCAGACGCGTGCCGTGATGCGCAGATCAGCTCTAGTCACTAACGTCACTGAATCTGCTGTTAGAAATAAACCATCCATTAATCATATCATCATGCAAAACTAAGAATTAGAATCATTGTAATGTGAAGACCAAATATAGGTGCGGGTGGGTGGCAGGCGGATAATCTGAAGCAGCGGACTCGGGTGAAGTTTGAGCTCATCCGTGCATCTCTACACTACACTGACCTGGCTTGCCAGTAGCAAACAATGGAGCGTGCTCTGCTGGACAAACTAAGTAATTACACCATTCAGAAGCATTTAATCTGCGTTATATGTTCTGTAAAAAAAAAATCCATATCAGCAGCATATTCGCAGATACATATATTGGCAACAGGCTCATATCGGCCGATAATATCGGCTAAACGATATATCGGTCGGGCTCTAATATTAGACAAAGGTCATTCCATTGTAAGTGGGCCATTAAACAGATTGTTTTATGATGAAGTTAAACTTTTCTTTATTCTTTTCCCAGCGGATGCGCCACACAGGCTTAATCTCTTCTACCTGGTGAATGATGTCATTCAGAACTGTAAAAGGAAAAATGCCATAGTCTACCGCACCACCTTTACTGATGTGCTGCCAGAAGCTATGAAGCTCATCAGGTGAGTCTGCTTTCATCAATGAACCTAACCAGATTGTTCTCAAGATCAAGAAATATCTTCTCTGCCTATAGACCACAACAGTGTCATTTATGTGTCATAATACTAAATCCTTTTTTTTTATTAAATAAGTTTTGTTTTTGGGACATTTTTGGATTTTGACAATTTAGTTTAATTATTGAATAATTGACAGACAAATCAAACTGTATTTAAGTTATGAATTATATCCAGTGTTCGCCTATATTTTAGTTTTTTAAATAAATAAATCATGGTTGAGTGTAGATGTAAAATGTAAGAAAGTATGTTTCTACAAAGGCATCAGTGACTAAAAAACTGCTTTCGGGTGATGCTGCATTCAATGCACTAGTAATGAGTGCTTCTAACTAAGTATGCATTAATGTGACATTGTGTGCAAATTATTTTCTAAAATGAATTTACATTATGAATCTTTGTAAATATGATTTCCTGTAGTGCCACAAAGGATTCTAAGGTGAACAAGGCAGTGGTGAGGATACTGTCCATTTGGGAGGAGAGAAGTGTCTATTCAGAGGAGTTCATCAGTCAGCTGAGGAATGGTTTGGTTCAGAAAGAAGAACCAGTGAAAGGTCTGAATTAATAACTAAGGATGCATCATCTTAATGTTGCTCTTGAGAGTATTTTATAGGCTTGTCAGTGTGTTTTTAAGTTTAACATTAAAAGTGTTAATGTATTGTAACAGTGGTTTAGACTTGAACATATTTTTGAAATTCTTATAATAAAGTAATGATTTTTCTTTTTAAATGTTCCTTAATTTTAGTTTCAGCTCCAGTCAGCTCCAAATCTGCCCTGAAATCCAAGATTGTTGCTGAGTTTGTGGTAAATAATCATTATTCACACTGGACTTGAATGGCTCTTTGGACCCCTTTTTTTGGGGAATTTGAAAATGGCTATACTTTTCATTTATACAACTTCTTACCTACTTTTTTGTTTTTTTGCCTGTCAGCCCTCAGCATTTATTGAGCATCTGTCCAAGTACAGGAAGTCCATGGATGAGATTGAGCTCAAAGAGAAACAGTTAGCTGCAATGAGAGTGGATGTGTGCAGCACAGAGGCTCTGAAGAAACTGAAAGGTCAGTAAACAGTGGCCTTTTATGATTCTAAACGGATATGCATTCATCAATAACTCAATATTTTTCTAATTTTTGTGTGTTTGTTCTTTCTGCATCCCATACTTTAGACAAGGCAGGAGGTAAAAGGTTTTCTAAAGACTTTGAAGATGGGAGTGCAAAGCTTCAGGAGTTTGTTTCCTTTCTGGATGGAGAGGTCAAAAAAGGCCCTTCATTGATAGAAGCTCTGGAGAATGCAGATATATTTTATGAGATGCAATATAAAGAGGTCAAGATTGTGGCTAAAGTGAGTATTGCAGTTTAATGTGATGCTATTGTTGGTGTAATTTGAAATGATATTATAAACATACATTAGCTACAATCCTGTACAAATTTACAGTGTGATTTGCAGTATTTGATGCAGAAATATTATTAAATTCATGAATTCTCCACACTGGGAGACTAAAATGAATGTAAAGATAAAGAACCATCCGGTCATTTCAAATGAAATAGCGGAGTATAAAATAAGTAAAATGTTGTTTTATTTATATTTCCAAAAAGCACTTTATGAAATCGAATTATTTCCGTTTGCTTCAACAAGAGCTCTTAATCTCTCCTCACTCACAGCAGCCTCAGGCCTTCCAGCACACTCATTATTTCAATGCACATATACATTTATATTTGAAAGTCCTTTCAGAAGTAATGACCAAATGCTCATTTAATGCTTTTAGTGGTTTCAGCTGCATTGTGCCGCAATTGAATTTGTACAAAAATAAAGACATCCAGACCATTGTTTAGCAAAATGTCCTTGTTTTATTTAGTCTAGCTGTGACAGCCATATTTGGCCATTTCATAAAAATATTAGCCTTTTCATTGGTTTTGTAAGGTTGAAGGTTTAAAAAAAAAAGATAATAGACTATATGTAAGTATACGTAAAACTTGTCTTAAATATATATTTATATATATATATTAGACTTATGTCCATATATATATATATATATATATATATATATATATATAAAAGAATAAAATGAAAAAATCTTACTGACTGCAAACTTTTGAACTGTAATGTATGTTCGTATGGTTCAACCCCAAAAACAAAGCATTTGTTAATATGCCAATTTTGGAACTATGACTATTTTATTGGAACTAATAGTGGAACTCTCTAAATCCTGCCTCTCCAGGCCTACGAGACATTTGCAAACCGGGTGTCGCACCTTAAGCGCAAGCTTGATGCACTGAAGAATATGTTGCCTGATCCAGATGACTCCCCCATTCCCTCCCCGATTGAAGATGCTCCCTCACCCACGGGCTCTGAGTCACCTTTCAATGCTCTGGAAAGGATTGGTACCCCAGACCCAGAGCTGGATGGGCAAGCAATGGAGGAGGACCTCATTGCTTTGGCTGATGCTCCCAGCCCTCTCTCATCTGTCGGGGGTTCCTCACCACCAAGTGCCCCTTTGGGAGACAAAGACAATCGTGACATAGAGGACATGGACCTCTCGGATGTAGAGGAGATGGAAACACCTGCCATCATAGGTACCATATGACCTTTACTAAGTTTTTTGATATTCGGTATGTTTCTCATTTAATAGAAACTATTGTTAAGCTGTTAGGATGCAGTGTTTTCTCTTTTTATTATTTCCTTCATTTTGTTTTCTCCTTACAGTTCAGGAACATGTGGCCTCTGCTGTTGTGTCCAAACAGTCCACTGTCACAGAATCCTTACCAACAAATGAAGGCACACAAACAAAGCAGATCTCAACCCCAGCAGTGACTGTTCCCTCAGCAGTAACAACAACAACAACCACCACCACACCAACCACACCATCACTGCCAGTGAACCTTGCTGGTGTTGACCTAGGCAAGATCAGCTCCATCCTCAGCACAATCACAAATGTTATGAAGAACTCAGGTGAGATGCTGAAATTTGATTTGTACAGCATGCCATGCACAGGTTAAATTATCTTATTAAATATGCATACTGGTCAATGCCTTGGCCTAGTGGTAAGCTATGGTGCTTATTTGAGAGATGCATGTTTGAATGTGGCCTGTGTTGTGTCTGCTCCTATTCCCCTACTAATTTTCTTGTCTACAGCTCCACTATTTGTTAATTAAAAAGTAGAAAAATTAAAAGTAAAATAATTTTGGAAATTGTATTTGGAGAACTGCTTGATAGTATGAAAAGTGAAATGTTAAAAATGTGTATTTGTAGGTTACATCATGCATTCAAACATTGCTTCTGCCTTTGCAGCTGTTGGAGTTAGTCCTGTATCTCGGTCTTCCCCAAGTGTACCTTCTACTCCAAGCTCAACTCAAAAGACTCCCACTACTGCCCCTACAGCCAACCCACTGGCCAGCATCCTTTCTAGGGTGGACATCAACCCCAACACTCTGCTCAGTGCTCTATCCAAAACACAAACCCATGGGGGTTTTCAGGGTGAGAAATGGAAAAGAAAAATTATTTGAGTTGGGATATGAAATTTGTGAACACAGTAGTTCAAGATGTTTTAAGTCAACATGAAATCAAAATTAACCCTATTTTTGTTTTAATACGTTTGCAGTCTCACTGTGTGTGATTTCATCAGTGTATGTTATTCAGAAGAAAAAGTTTGATGTAATCCTTCATCAAAATGTAATAACTTGCTCCACCTTTGAAACAGCTTCCTTCACTGACTATATCACCTAGGTCATTAATGTTAACCCAAAAGCCAAAAAGCTTAAACGCACAATATGTAATTTTTCGCCGCTAGAGGGCACGCGCCCTCTATTTATTTATTCAAAATAAACAAAGAAACAAAGGCGTAGTTTGATGACGCCGTGACTGAGTGTGGAATCATGGGAGTTATCGTCTTCATCCCCACAGCCGATGCAATCCGACTGGACTCGGGCAGAAATCATGTTCATAAAGCAGCGGAGCTTTTATTAGTCGACAGTCGACCGCTTCCGCTCCTTCCGGTCGTGCGTATGTGGGGGAAAAAAGCAGCGCTGTTTCTAGATACTTTGAAAGTTCTGTTATAATGCTACTCTGTGCGGTCGTCACCTGTCTAATAAAACGCATAACATATTAAAGCGTCTTTGGTGTTTCCATGTTTTCTACAAAACAAAACCGGAAATCGAGGGGCTATGACGTCATTGGCAGGCGACACAATGACACTATGGACACGGTCCGTGTCACTAGTTAAAATTGCTTATTTCTCTGGATTTAAACATTCTTCGAAACATTTGGGATAATGTAAGTACACAAGTCAGCAAAATATATAACACTGTTCTAGTAGTTTTTGGATATTGTAATAAAAAAAATCTTATATATTGTGCCTTTAATAAGATTTAAATGACAAATTAAATTATGTTTGAAGCTTTTGTTTTAAGTAATGTGGGTTTTTTAAAGCTTAAAAGTTGGTGCCAGGCAGGCATTGATTTAGGAGCATTTGCCTCCACAGTCAAATGTGAACTCACATTCAGGTGTGTCTTCATTCTGGTTCTCTTACCCACAATTCCTGATGGATGCAGTCCACCCTACTTGTTAAATATAATGTTTCACTTGAAAATGCATCACAATATGTAAGTTAAATGAGTTGAGAATTTAATTTCATGTTGACCTAAAACATTATACATATTTTGCCTAGTTGTGGAAGCAACAGCAGATGATATTAGAAAAGACTTAAAAGGGCCAGATTTACTAAACAGGGAAAATTAGTGTGAGAATGCAATCCCATAAAAGCGGCAATGAAATTTACCAAGAGCAGCATAAATTAGTGTAGGGTCGCAAACAAGCAAAGCTGATGATAATCAGGTATGGGTAATCTACTGTACCAGTAAACTGAATACCGCAAACCTTGGTAAATCACATTGGTCAATTAATTTAAATATTCTCCTCCCATAAATTTTGTGTCTGAAATGGAAGCTTTTACAACTGCATATGCAATAAAGCCATGCCTTTTCATCAATAATTCCTTTAGTAAATTCTGGCAGTAGTTTTTAATGCCAAAAGAGGGTTTGCGCTGGTACAAGCTGTTAGTAGTCTGGCCCTTAGTATGAGTTTTTCAGAAAATGTGTTGTGTATTTAAGTCAATCTGCTGACCCATGCGTCCCTACCCCTATCTTTCTCTTTCTATAATTTTTTTCCCACAGGTCTGTCCTCTTTGCTAAACAACCCGGCTGCAAAGGCCACCACAATTTCAAATTCTGAAAAGCAATCCCTAACCACACCTATTACAGCAGAGACTCATACATCTCCTACAGTCTTACCTACTCCATCTAGTCTCCCACTGGCTAGGGATCCCACCTCTCAAGGATGTGTGGCTCCTACGCCCATGCAGTCCAATATGGCGAATGAGAAGGGCTCTTCTCTCAACTCTACCTTGGACTCCAAGATTGATAACTTCCTCCAAGGTCACCCAGGACTGAAAGGCTTTAATTTGGGCTTTCCATCTGTTCTGACATGGCCTAAAGGAGCTGTTGATAGCCCTTCAGCAAGTGCAGAAAACCTTGGTGGAACCCCTGTAAGGGATGAAGCTGGTTCTACACCAACGCAAGATGAAATTATGGATGTTCCTCAATCAGAGCTGTTCCCGTATCAGCAGGGACAAATGATGTCTAATTCTACAGCTTTGGATGCTAAATCAACGCGTCCACTTCCATCTTGGCAGGAACAAAATGCTCAGGCCGATCCACAAGCTCATACGGACATGCACCAGAAGACTGCACCAAAAAAAGACTTCCAAAAGTCTGTGCCCTCTCTTGCTGAGGCAGAAGCTATGCGGCATCAACGCATCGAAGCAATGCGTTCCTCTTCTTTGTCCAGCAACCAGCAACCTTTGAGAGACAGTGTAGAAGCCACCGAGAGATCAGGTGTGATGCTTCAAGAGCCGAGACAAAACCCCTTAATTCGTGATGTGGGACCAAATTCTAAAATGGTGGAAGGTAGCTATGCATATCGAGATGATCAAGAGAAGCAAGTATCGGCCAGCTCTGATGCATACGGTGCAGAGCCATACCTTGCCAAAGAACCAAGACAGGATCTTGCTGCACCTAACTTCTTCACAACACCTCTGCCACCGATCCCAAAGCTTCCTCCTCCTCCACAAGACTTCATGCATCCAGCATCTTCGAGAGCAAGTGGTCCTCGTCCCACCAGAGATTTGCAGGAACCTTTCGGGGAAGCAGAAAGAGGTGGTGTTGATGGATCGCATGCCCCAGCAAACTCTGATTATGAACACTTGTCTCATGAGGTTCCAAACAAGGAGCCTTTCCATCCACATGGGGATGGGGCCTCTCACTCTGCTCATGCACTGCACCTTGCTCCTAAAATCCCACCGAATGGTCCAGTGGACTACAACCACCGACATCCACCAAGAGTACCTCTGCAGCGCCCTCCAAGTGTACCCCATCACCACATTGGGTCTCCTCCTTCAGTAAGGAGTTACCATGAAGCCTCAAGTCCTCCTCGACCTTTACCTGAAGATCCATACTTTGACCCATACTATGAACAACCACCACGTAGCCCCTCTCCCCCTCATTACGACATGCACCCGATTTCACCTCATGCACAAGAGCATTATACTGAAGAAATCCCACCTCACTACCCAGAGTGCAGGGTTCCTCCTCACTTGGAACACAGGCATCCACCACCACACCATGTTCGTCCACCTCACCCTGGGCACTATCAAGCTCCTAGGCCCCTTCGTAGGCCACCACCGGTCCATCATGAGCCACCCTTTCCAAGGGGCAAGCGACCTGGCCCACCGTTTGGTGGACCTCCCAGATTCAGGGGCCCCTTTTATCCCCCTAAAAGACCCTTCTTGCCTCCGCATTACTGAAGTGTGTCTTTGCTCAGGTGTTTAGTGCATGTCACAGTGAGCAGGTAAAGACGTCCAAGTGCAGTTGGGTTATCAGCAAGACAAAGATTGCTGTGGACAATGACATGAAGGGGATGGTGTTGAACACCTTTGCAAGATCACAGTAGAGAAGTGCAAATTTATTCAAGTAATCGGGCATGGAATCAGATCGCCAAAAACTCTTGAGCAAGATGTGCTCTTTTCCAACAAGAAGTCAAGGAGCACTGGAGCAGAGAAATGGAAAGAATATCTGGCAAGGAATGCTGGGGGAATGAGATGGAATCTGAAGGCAGACAAAACAAGAGGTGGTTATTCTATTTCATTTCATTAATTCTTCTTTAATTTCTATAGTTTTTGTGTCTAGTTCTATAAAAAAATCAAATTGAAAGGTTAATGTTCTTTCCCTTAGTTGGAATTTGTGTGCATGTATCTCACGCATATGTTTGGGAAAGAACTCAATGGTTTTTTGGATCAACATTTAACTAAGTTTGATATGTAATATTTTTTTACTTTCGAAGTTAAGTTCTACTGATGATCAAGCTATATTGTTATGCAAAGCTGGTAGTTTTGATCTTATTTTGTACATGTAATTAAATGTACCCTAACAGGTAGTTAAACTTCATTATCGTCTTTAATGGACAAACAGCAGTGTAGAGAAAAAGTAATCTTTACAATTTTGAGGTAAGGTCCTGAGGTGTACAGAGACGAGCCGTTTTTGCCAACAATGGCAGAAGATGCAGAAGAAACGAAGTTGTCGGGCAGAATCATCATGGCCTCCCTCAGTTCCTTGAGGCTTTTACTGTACTGACATTAATAAAGATGTGTTTGGAAAAAACCACTGTGCCGGAGTGCAGTCTCAACCATGATGTCTTTGAGTCTTTTCATCTTAGTTGCTTCAGTGATTGTTTTTTTTTGCTTTTCACAGTTTCGCGAACACCTTTCATTCATCAATAAAATACGATCAACATTATACGCAGAGGTTTTATTGTAGCTAAATGGCTGGAACTCATGTCGACTGTTTATGACTGAGATTTGTCCTACACCGTGTTCTAGAACCAAAACCAGAGGCTTTTAAGCACATTTAATGTAATTCTCAATTAATTAGTGTTTGAATGGGTAAATGTAGGCCATTTGTATTATAGAAACTTAAACTATGTAACTGCAAACTGTACAAAGCATAGCATGAGTTATCAGAATTTAAGTGTATACAGTCAATTCAAGTCAAATTTTCAAATCCACACTACAGCTCTACTTCGGGTTTTCTGTTACCTGCTTAGTGATCCTGGACTTAACATTTCTAAGTCCTCATTCTCTTACATACTAGTCTGGTTTGCGATGAATATTTGTTTCAAAATTACCCATGTTCATCTCACTTTAGGCTAATATTTGCACAATTTTACTGTTTGAAATTTAAATTTATATGCAGACACGGTTAGATTAAGATGCAAGTTTTTTTGTCTGATCAAATAAGGACTTTATCAAGAGATGACTGGTCACTTCAGTTGTGTGGCAAATGTTGCATCACGCTGTTGCATCGTTCTCTGAAATAAATGTAGCATAAAAGACAAGGAATTATGTTTCTCTGAATTAAATGTAGCATATAAGACTAGGAATTTGCACAGTAACTCTTGCCTCTAAAATTAAGGCCCAGCATGGTTCCACTTAATTTAGTGTCACTCATGCTCGAGAATCAGCTGTGGCTGATTACATTAGGCACAGATGGATGTTTATCAAGTCAACTCCTTGAATCAGAACAGGGTTACAACTCCATAAGGGTTTTCCCCCCTTCTTGATTAACACAACATTTATAAAGTGTAAAGTCAAAAGAGAAATCCTTCTGCCTTCAATTCGGTTGCATTTAGATGTTTGCTGGCTAATAGGCAGGATTTTCAAACATAGTATCAAAAAAAAGCACAAAAGTAAAACCTTATGGGACATTTTGAAACTGGGTTTTCCCTCGGTATATAGATCTTTTGTGCTTCAACTTTCTTTCCTTAAAGAGACAAGGAAGCAAAGGCTTAAATTAGATGGCTAATTTACTGTAAAACATGAAATACAGAAAAACTAGCTAAAAACCAAATCAATGCTGCTTGATAAATTAAGTTGTCCTTTATAGTTGTCATAAATATGTATTGCTTATGTTAAACTGCTTAAAATCATGAAATTAGCATTAAATTGCGAAAAGGCCCATTATAGCTAAACCGTTCAGAAACTGCATTAAACTTTCACATCCTCATTAAATCTAGCCCATGCATTTTCCTGTTCGTTTCAGAGAAAGTTTAATTTTCTTACGAAAAGAACGTTCTCAAGGCAAGAAAACATCTGGTGTCGAGCCAACTTTAAAGGGAACATTTTCCCATCATTTACTCTCTCATGTTGTTCCAAACCGGTATGAGTTTTCTTCTTCTGTTGAACATTAAAGAAGATATTTTGAAGAATGTGGGTAACCAAATGCTGTTAGCCATTGGCTTACCTAATGTTTTTTTTCCTCTGTGCTATGGAAGTCAATGGCTATCAGCAACTGTTTGGTTACCCACATTTTTCAAAATATCTTCTCGTGTTCAACATAAGAAAGAAGATCATACAGGTTTGGAATGACTTAAGGGTGAGTAAATGATGGATGAACTATATCTTTAAGTTCTTCATAGTTTCACACCAGCGGTTTTCAAACTCTCTTTTGCCCTCTGAGATGTAACCTTCAGTAACACACCTGCTTTAGAGGTGTCGTACGGTTGACCTCCTCCTCTCTGTCTCTCATGGACAAAAGCAGATGTGCATGAAGAGATGGGTTTTGAATTACATGTAGAAATTGCTATCAGTAAAACATAACCTAAATTCTTGAACTGATCTCAAGGTCATTAATAGTTGCCAGCTATACATGTCTGGAGATTTGGTGGGACTAGGAGTAATTAACAAACACCTAAATCACGTTTTTGGAAATGAAAGTAATACTGAGCTTTAAATTAAACGAATCCACTGGTATTGTTCATGTTTGCAGACCTGCTGTGTACGCAAATAGACGTGATAATGGTAAATAAAGTTATTGCATATTCCTTAATGGTTTTAAATGACATACACAAATCCTGAAATGCCAGAGCTCAGCATTGCATCATCATTCAGAACCAAAACCAGTCACCTCTTTCATATGGATATGCAAAGTTGTTTGAATTTCTAACGTATTGTTAAAATATAACGAGTTAACTGTCAAGCGCTCCAATATGTTAGAAAGTCAAAACAACTGTCAATCGTCGTGTGCTTAAATGTTTCAGTAAGACCGATTATGATACCTACTCCGATTTTTTGCAAGGAAAAATATATAGATAAATAATCAAATGTATAAAATATTTTGTCGCAAAAAACCCCTTCAAGTTCCTGAACAGGAAAATAAGATCTAACCCATTAAACTGTTATTATTATTATTTTATTGTTTGTAATATGCAATTATAAGATGAAACGCCGTGTCATTATAACACATTATTACTTTTTAATTAATAGATAATATAAGTAGTCTAGAGTCATGGTTTTTAATCATAGTAGATCTAAATATCAAAATAATTCATTTTGCTGCTAATTCTACACCTTTTAAACTGCACAGCCAGCACCGAAGATGACGTTTACCAGTGATCTTCTGAAGTTCATCAGCTCTCTCGTGCATTTATTTGACTTGACATAGACTACCTTTTTTAAATAGTAGTGAGGGCCACGCCCCCAAACGCGAAGAGCGCGTGCACGGTTCATAAAAGTGGAACGTTTTCATGCAACACTTTCCACAGAAGCATGTGCTGCGTGGGACGCCAACCATCAAATTATCCGCCCTCGGCATACACAGGTCATACACTAGAAATTATCTCGGTATCAAAATATTAAAATAAACACTTTGCTCAAGTAACCAATGTTTTTGTTGTACTTTGCATTTCATAGAATTTTTAATAAAATGTTTTCTCTTCTGACAAATCTATATATAACAGTAAAAACCTGTTTACTGTAAGTTACCTCACTGGTGTATAATATATATATATATATATATATATATATATATATATATATATTAAAAGCATGACCTTATCAATTAATGCTTTATCTTTTTTCTCTCCCCTCCCCCTTCTGTCACGTTTGTGTTGTTTTAACCCAATCAACAGTTTGTTTTATTTTTCTCCCTCTGTCCATCCTCAATGTATGCAGATCTTCTGGTGAGGACTTTCTCTGCCCAGCAACAGAGTGCTTGAGGGGACATCCAATGCCCTTGTATCCCATCCGCTTGCAAATCAAGGTAAGCAGTTGCACAAAGCACACTCAGCATGTGTTAATTATACATTCATTTTTGCAAGAAATGTAAATTATATCAGACTGTAAGTTCATGGCAAAGCTAGGCACTCCGAAGTCAGTGGTTCATTTTCTGTGGTAAAATGCACAAACTATTGCATATTGTCTTATGCAACGGACAGAATATAATAGTAGTCTTAAACTTGTAATGTTTAAAAATATTGTAACGGAGGGAGGTTAACTGGATAATGTGCACATCATGGTTAAACCTTTTATTCTCCTCAAATTGTTTGAGGCCTTCAGGACAAATGCAATACACAGTGTAAAGTTAGAGCTCTACCTCCCTCTTCAGGTACAAACTGATGTTAATAAGCTGGTACTTTATTGCTATAGGCAATTATTACAGGTCTCCTGGGTTCGCTTGCTCTCTTGTTAGAGGTATTTATTGTGGTTTTTGTTGTTCTTGTAATGAATATGTAGACAATATTGTGCCTACATATTATAAGACAAAGGAAAAATGTAAATTATTTTTGTTTAATAGATGAGTATGACCGTATAGGCCTAGCGTATTGTCTAACCCAGAACTGACAAATTGGGTTATTGCTCAAAAGAGTGCACAAGATAAAGGTCAGGGACAGGGTATATCAGTAGTGTGACCTTTATGCCAGTTCACTTGAAGCAAGGTGGATGCAGCTGATACAATATCACATTTCATACCTCACAAAGATGTGAAGGCCTTGGGTCGCTTTATATGAATATACATGTATAAAATATAAAAGAAGCTACTCACAAATAATGAAAGTAGTTTGTTTATCATCTGGATTTCTTGGCCCTTGTTCAAAAAGCATGTTGAGCATCTGGGAGCTTACATTGAATTGATCCTTAATAAAAGGATAATAATAATTGACACTGACTTTGACCACTGACAAGCTCTCAATGCTTACAAATAGGCAATACTGAAATAACCAGCAGATGTCGTCGTTAATTCATCTGTCTGGTATAACCAGTTGAGTCATCTGTGATTTTAAGTGCGTGCTCTTGCGTACGTGAATGAATCGTGCTTTGGGTCATGTTAAATAGTTTTTGTTGTTGTTCTTAAGTGAGGTTATCAGAAAGATTTCTGATCTTGAAAATTTAATATGAATTTGGGGTCACGGGTAAAAACAGCATTGGCGGATTTAGGGGCTCGAGATGGTTGCCAATCCCAGTAAATGAACACAAGTAGCCTAGTCGTTAATTTAGTTTACCCTACAAGCCAGACAACAACAACAACAACAAAAATAGGTTACTGCCCATTTAACAATTACAAATCAACTTGATGTCTCGGCGGATGTAAATCGAGCGCACGGTTTGTGATGTGATCTATAATCTCCTAAAGGTTAATTTTATTTGATTTTATTTAGTCAGTAATAGAGAATGAATTAAAGTGAATTCCCTGTCAGATCGCGCACTAAGATGGCGAAATTGCTCGACCACATAGCGAGGACATCACGTAGTTTACGTGGGCGTTAATTTGCGAGAAAACATGATTTGGCTCAATGTAGTTTCAGCACCGTGGTCAGAGCTTGACGAGAACAAAAGGCGGATTAGCGTCCTTGATATCAGGGACCGTCCAAATGTTACATGCAACCCTAAAAAACGAACACTCAAATAAAGCAGTAGCGAACCGTAACCCGATTTATCTAAAGTACGTTTCCTTTAAGTAAAACGTGTTAATTTGTTTGTGTTCAACAGTAAAATAAATCTTGGCATATTTTATGTTTGTTATGGATCATGGCTCTTCATGAAGGAACGTGTGATATTATTATTCATATAGCCTAATTATTAATCATTCTACATATGATTATTCCATCCTCCTTTTTCTTTTTTCCGTTTATGTTCGCTTAAATTTTTTGCATACATATGGAAAATTTATTGATCTTATTTTTGTCAAACTTGTTTCCCTTGTACAACTCATTCTTAAAACAAAAAAAAACATGAATCATACCGTAATTATAGTACTGTACCCTATTCAGTTTAGCTATGATGATCTGCAGTAGTTGGGAGAATAATACAATTATATAAGAATTATAAAACAAATTGTATCCTTTATTATATATAAAGTTGCTATTACAAGATTTCGAGTCACATTTGAGTCAGATGTGAGCTATGCATTATGAGAACTAAAATAATTGCAAAACATTTTGCATGATATTTTGTGCAGATGCTAAATTGAGATATAAAGGCGTTATTAGGAGAAAAACATGACTAGATTTTCTTTTTACCTCCATAGTATTACAGTGATATGAAAGGGACAGCTGTTTCTATGTGACAGCACCCAATGGTTTTGCGGCTACGCTCTGAGATGAAAATATAGACGCTCCCTTAAGCCGAGTAAACGTCACGGTTTCCACACCCCGAGGGAGGACGGGAGATGGACAGGAGGGGGACACCGGCTTTCGACGTCAAAAGCTACGGGTTATACGGAGTGTCAACACTGTGAATATAGGCTACAGCATTACCGTGCGCCTTCTTTACAGTCTCTGCATTAAAACGTGAGTGAAATGTACATTTTATTTGCATTTATACTTGTTTTGATTCATGCATGTATTCTAGTCAACAGGAGATATCCGAGAGGGCACAGAGAGACAAAAACCAAGACGATTCAAGGGTGACCGATGCACGGATTTAGTTAAATGTACATTGGCTGGCGTTAGAGCCACCCGCTCTCCATCAGCTCTCTTTATCTGTGCACGTAGAATATCAGACCATGTTCTACAACCAGGCAGAAAGACAGCAAATAAACAAACATCCCCTTGGGATTAACAAAAGAGAGAGAGGGAAGGAAACGAGAGCGAATTTCGCCTTTGCACAAACACCAGAGAGCTCGTAATATTTGAATGAACTTCTTTTAGTCCCTTTTGATTTAAAGGCGTGAAGTTGCATGTTTTTGTTCTCTATCATGTATGTGCGTATGTGCAGTTGGTGTCGTGACAAAGAGCCACATACGCCTGAGCCTCCAGTGTGGATTAAACAAAGAAGCTATGGGGATATCCGTCAATATTTATGCATTTCATTTTATTGCATTCACTTTTAATATGCTCTCTTGCCAGAGCTCGTAACACAAGCATCTTTGTTGTACTATAGCATTTTAATCTCTTAAAATTAGAGATTGACTGATCACTCGTATTACATTGTGTTTTCATTGACACTTTATTGTATCTTAAATTATTAATATTTAAATGATGTAATGCATTCGTTCAAACAGATCTTTAGTGTATATTCAAATAGCTAAAAATGTTCATTTTTGAATATATATAGCTACTGCAAATCTGCAAAGCATTGTATGATTTTGTAATGTCAAACAGCAAGCCAGCACTTTATTATAATCCTCATTATCCTCCATGCATTTAATTCAGCTCCAACTTAAACGTACGACTCTATTCAAACTTTGTTTGGCAGATAATTTTTAATATAGGGCTGCTATCTGTTAACGTTATACTTTTAAAGAAATGTATATGATCTTCCATTGTGTGAGAATTGTTTGCCATTCAAAATCGACCGTCTTGGAAGATATTGAGATTCTGGCAAGCTGAATGGCGATTGGAGGTCTTTCTTGTATTTATTTGCATATTGAATTGCGATTGGTCTATCTTTCTTACATCTAATTAAGTATGCCTTCAGATTGTGGAACAGATCATTTTGATTCTCAGTAGCAAAGGGGGTTCAGAAAGTCAAAGAAAAGAAGTTTGAGGGCCTTAAAATGTTTTACATTTAAGAACAAATTTAGTAGGTTTTAGCTGGTTTTAAAACGCTCACGAACAGAAATGACTTGAGTTTGAGGAGGTAACCATAGCAACAGCTCGAGCACATAATCGTTATCATATTTTACATTAACAAAACTTAACCCTCTGGTGCTCCTCATTTGGGAGTCACGGAGTGGTCTTCACGGTCAAAAGTGACCGGACACCTGAAATTTACTTTTTTTTCACCCAGTAAAATCAATGTAATATATTTTTGTTCAATAATATTTTTTATTTTGTATTTTGAGATAATTTCATGGCACTGACTAATATTTATGCAATAATTATGATGCCCATTGAAAATAATACACATTTAAAAAAATATATATTTTTATATTACTTTTCAATGAATGCAGTATTTCAAGTTAAAATAGAGTCAATGCCTTTAAAATCCCATTTTTGAAGCCAGATTAGTGCCATCTGGTGGGAGTAAAATAAGAAAAACGTCTGCAATTCCATGGTTTAGTCCATAGATTTCTATATAGCTCTATATAAAAGGCCTATAAATTCTCGGAGTGAGTGTGTCTGTTTTGCACTCTTGATGTTTTAGAGTGTAACCCCTTCCTTGCTGTCCACTTTTTTTTTTTACTGCATTGTAGTTGAATTAATGCATTTATTTTACATATTTGCTGTGTTAGAGTCACACCAATTCATAGCTTACGGTGATCAAGGACAAGTACACGGGAATGCACAAAGGTAATTAAATGAGATTGACGCGGCTCTATTGAACGGACAGTCTCAAGGGGAGATGGGAGACTAATGGTGCTAGATGAGCTTCCTTTTCATATCTTAAGAGAAACGTCTGTGTTAGTACATCTAGTGATGTCTTCTTCTTTGACAGTGGGATGTATACTGTGTGTAGAAACTTTAACTGTTAGTTTGTAATAGCATTCATTTCCTCCTATTTCACTTTGAGTTGGGTTCCAAAAGTCTAGCTTCCTGAGATAAACAAATCTATTCATAGAAAATGCATCTGTGGTGCGAAAACAAATTGTTCAACGTTTTTCCATTTCTTAGTCACAGTTGTCATATCCTTCTATGTCCGCAAAACACTGCTTGTGATTCATGGTCTGTCTAGGACTGGTACATTTTTATTTTTACATCCCACGTTGTATTCTTGCTCTTTCTTCAGGATGTGCGTTCTTGACGTACTGTGCGAAGGAGTCAGCCTTGAAGGCCCAGAATGCACTACACGAGCAGAAGACATTGCCGGGGGTGAGTTGTCGCTGTTAATAAAGTGAACGGGCTGTATAAAAAAATAGATTTATTTAAGTCAGACAAACACTTCCATTTGCCTATATATATAGCACACTACATATAGGATCAATCTTTTATCATAAAGCTCTTCTAACAAGGCTGAGGAACTTGAAGTCATTTCTAAAAGTGGAAACAACACATTATATGGTTCAGGAGACAGGATCTGTGAAAATCTGTGTTGACTGAACAGACTTTAATTAGGTATGTAGGAGGGCACAATCCTTGAAGGCATCCGTGCTCGTGTCGCTCTCAGAAGTCGTTGATTAGCTGTTAGGCCATCTGCCGTGACGGGCAACCTGTAAATTCAGAAACCTCCAATCTTTTCATCTTTTTAATGCTTTTTTATGGTTTCATGCGTTAATTACCTACTTTTTTCAGATTTGCCAGATGTACGGGATCATTATGAGCGGTGTTGCGAGTCGAATGTACTTGACGTCAACGTATAAAACTCGAGGATGAGATCATATGGTCTGTTTTGTGATTTATAGGCAGGAACTAAAGGCATAGTCCTCCCAAAAAATGACTATTTTTTCTTCATTTATGCCATTCCAAACCTCTATGACTTTCTGTCTTCTGCTGAACACAAAAAAGATATTTTGAAGAATGTTGGTAACCAAACAATTTTGGTTCCCATTAACTTCCATTGTATTTTTTTGTCCATACAATGGGAACCGAAGCTGGAACATTCTTCAGAATATCTTCTTTTGTTTTCCAGATAAAAAAAAAAAAAGCCATGCCGGTTTGGAATGATATTAGGGTGAGTAAAGATGACCGTATTTTCATTATTGGGTGGAATATCCCTTTAATTCAACTATACGCTCAGTGCTCGCGTGATGATGTCCACCCCCCCTGTTGATTAGACTTGGAGTAAGCAAACCCACAGGGAATCTTTTGCTTCCCCTCAAATTCTATTTAAGCGAGTTTAATTTGCACTAGAGGAAGCTGCGTGTCGTAAAAGATGAGACACAATGTGGACTGAGCGGCCAAACAGAAGCTTCTGGTGCTTCTGAACAGACTCTGAGCCAACTGTGGTCCCACCAGACGTAGGCTAATGAAGGGATATATGGCTTTATTGCTCCGTATGTCACATCACGTAACATCGAAAGCTGGTTGAGTAGTGTTAGAAGCGACGAAATTAAATCAAAGTGTGAGCAAAGTAAACCTCATTCTGCCTTGGTTTTAGGGAATCAGTGTTTGTGAGCATCTGTTTAGATTGTTTTTCCTTATGGCGAGTAACGTTATGCGCATGTGTGCTCGTGAGTAACTCCAGAACAAATCCCATTATTAGCATGACAGTAGTCTGACCTTTGCCGACCTCTCCAGGCGCAGATCAGCGGGCCTCCCTGGCTTTAAATCCTCTCTCCTCCTCCCCTATCCCTCCATCCTTCTATTAGTCTACCCCCTCACCTAAGCCTGGTAAGACGGTGTTCAAACCTCCCCCATGAGGTATGACGGGAACCACATTATTAAGAACAACAGCCCCCCTCTCCTAGAGAGTAATCTCTCTTCCTCTTTCTCGGTCTCTCTCTTTCTTTCTTTCTTTTTTCACACACACGCAGATAGCCCAGCTGTGTGGCATTATTACCAGCTCATGGCACCTGCCATTCAGAGCAGGCTCTGCCCCCAGGCTGTCAATCATAGCGAATCGCTCCGGCAACGCTGCGTGATATGCGTTTAGAGTGCGTGTGCGGGTGAGATAGGAATTGTAACCACGATGAGGGGAGAAAGACAGATAAGATAAGACAGAAATTGGCTTGGAACCTTAATTTCTCACCATTTATTTTTTTTTCTCTCAGGCTTTGTTCAGACTACTCCCAATTCAGATTTTTCAGTTTGTGCATTGTGATTTTGCGAGTGATGAAAACGTAAGCACTTGTTCAAATGTGGTAAGAAAAAGGATAGTTCACCCAAAAAATGACAATTCTGCCATCATTTACACACTCTCATGTCATTCCACACCTGTTTGACTTACTTTCTTCTGTAAAAACACAAAAGATATTTTGAAGGTTTTTTGAAAGTTAATGAGAACCAATGCTGTTTTGGATTCCGTTGACTTTCATTAGTGTTATTTTACTATTATTTATTATAGTATTTGTTAACATTTTTATTTTTATTTTTTTCTGTTTGTTTTAGTCATTTTGTTATGTGCTTGTGTCATTTTTATTTAAAATGTTTATATTAAGCTTTAATTTATTAGGTTTTTAATTTCGTTAGTTACCAAGTTTAGTTACCATTTCTTTCAATTAATTTTATTTTATTTTTAATTTTATTTACTTTATTTCAATTAACAAATCTGACCTGTAATAGCTTTAGTTTTAGTTGTAGTTTTAGTTAATTTTACAACACTCTTTCATTGTATCGACAAAAATGCTTAAAACATTCTTCAAAACACCTTTTGTGTTCTGCAGATGAAATAAGATTCGAAACATTCAAATGTGTTTGGGTTTTGTAAAAGTCATATTTCATGCATTTTTAGACTGTATTGTTTGTTTGGATGAGGAAAAAATAACTGACAAAAACTAAACTTAAAGTCTAATATTCTAATTTGGTTAAGGTTGAAACTGAATAAAAGATCAACTGCGAGCAGTGAATTGAATGGAGAGGTAAAGGAAGACGAGGGAGGAGGGGTTGAACAGATGGCATGGCTGGAGTGGCACCTGGCCTTATGTTTAATTTCAGGTGAGAGGCACGCAGTGATTGTAGACAGAGGAGGAGAATGGAGACCTGGAGTCCTCTTTCTGGTTTTCAATCCCATGCTCTCTTCGTCCTCCCCCTCTTATCTTTCCCCAACTCTCCTATCTCTCACTCTCTGCCTATTGTTGCCATCCCAACGTGTTTGCTTAACTCTGTTTATCACATGGCCCCACAACAAAGCGCCGGGCGTCGTCCAAGACACTTCAGTCGTGCACGCATTCGTTTGCGCTTTTAAATCCGGCACAGCATTCACATACATACCCTCGATCTCCCGTGTCCTCTATTCACTCATTGGCCACATCTCAAATCGTATTCCCTTTGGCCTTCTCTCAAACAGTAGCTAGTGAACTACAGGGCTAAAATACTGGATGAAGTTGTTGTGTTGGCGATTTATGGTAAAATGTGATTCAACTTCAGTTAAGATAAATATCAGCTTTCACATTGAGGTTTTTTGTAGTTTAAGTTGTTTTATTTGCTGTTTCAGAAACCGCTTTACTCTTACTTCTGCCTCAACCATAAAAATCGTGACAAGAAAGCAAGACGTAGTCGATCAACAGGACAGACCAGATAGCTTATGTTTGCACTATTAATGTTGTTTTTACTATTATAATTTTGATTATAATCAAATTACATCAAATTACACCCGATCTCTATCGAACTAGTGCTTCCATTGGTTATTGATAGCAAAATGGCAGTTAAACATCTATCTATGATGTGTGTGCGCACACATTTTGGCATTTTCGTGTTTGGGACAAGTTGTTGTGCGTCTGAACGCGTGTTTAAAAGAGCGTCTGTTGTGCCTTTGTTGTGGGGGAGGGGAGGGCAGGTGTTATCAGAGAGGGGGATGGAGTGTGTGAGAGCGAATGTCTGGATGTTTGTTTGTAGTTTAGGTTAATAGCGAGAATTGGACCTTAAAATAAAGTGTGACTGTTCATTTTTACAAACTGAGAACCAACTCCATCTAATCTATAAAGACTAGCAAACAAACATGCATTATTTACTTTATGAAAAGAGTGTTGAAATCCATTGCTTTCCTCATCCACTTGGCATTTGGTTCCCATAGACAAAAATAAAGTAGCACCCCTATCTCAAACAATAGGACAGCATCACCAGTGTTAACGGCATGTTCGGGGTGTTAGATATCAGCGTTATTGCAAGCATCGCTCATATGAGGTCTGTTTGCTTGGCAAAAGCGAGTTTGTTTGAATGTGCTACATTCAGAATTTGATATGCATATTGAGTTAGCAAGCCCAACCAATGCATATCTCAGTTTCTCAAGAGGTGCCATTTTCACACGTTTTTGCCCCCCCCCCCCGCCCA